AGATGGACCCAAGAGGCCCCCAGGAAGCCCCCAAGAGGCATCCAGGAGGCCCCCAAGAGGCCCCCAAGAGGCCCCAAGAGGTCCCCAAGAGGCTCCCAAGAGGCACCCCAGAGGCCCCACGAGGCCCCAAGAGGCCCCCAAGACGCCCCCAAGAGGCCCCCAAGAGGCCCCCAAGAGGCCCCAAGAGGCTCCAAGAAGCCCCCAACAGGCCCCACGAGGAGCTCGAACGACTCACACCAGGACGAGAGACCCCAACGACTCACACCACGAGGAGCCCGAACGACTCACACCACAAGGAAGGGCCCGAACGCCTCACGCCACGAGGAGCCCGAACGACTCACACCAGGACGAGGGGCCCGAACGACTCACGCCACGAAGAGCCCGAACGACTCACACCAGAAGGAGGGCCCCGAACGACTCACACCAGGACGAGGCGCCCGAACGACTCACACACCACGAGGGGGCAGGAAGCCCGCCGCCGAACGCATCACACCAATGACGAGGGGCCCCGCCCCACGCACCGCCCGAACGACTCACACCACGAGGAGCCCGAAACGAGTTCTCACACCAGGAGGCGGGGTCCGAACGACCACACCAGGACGAGGGCCCGAACAACTCACACCACGAGAAGCCCGAACGACTCACACCAGGACGAAGAGCCCGAACGACTCACACCACGAAGAGCCCGAACGACTCACACCAGGAAGAAGGGCCCGAACGACTCACACCAGGACGAAAAACCCCAAACGACTCAAATCACGAGGAGCGCTTTCTCTCCCTCCTCCTCCGCCTCGTCCTTCTCCCGCTCCCCCCACAAGGAGGATGTACAAGGAGGCGGGAGGAAGGAGGAACAGGGGAGATATGCGGGGCCAAGCGGACACACGCCTGAAAAACACGACTGTCGGCAAGCTTCGCGAGAGTTGCTGCTGTGAGATGGGCTGGTGGGGATACGCGAAGCGTACAGAATTAGACCTCGCCATCCCTGGGGGGCTGCGAGCTGAGACCCCCGCTTTCGAAGTGGCTAGGGTTGCTCAGGGATTGCAACTAATTAGCTTTATCTAGTCCTTGTCCTGAAGCCAGTTTCCTGCGAGTCTCCCGAATTCCGTCTGCAGACATATGTAACTCTCGCTCCGTCATCGTCCGCCTTATAAAGTGTCCTAAACTATTTGCGCCCCGCGTTTGCGCAGGGGTTGGGTACGTCGCCAAGGTAATTTTTCGTTCCTGGGCGTTGTCACGGGACACGTTGAATGATACACTTGCGTTGCAATCGATTCCAATCCATTGGATTGCAAACGATTCGATTGCAATCCATTGGATTGCAATCGATTGGATTGCAATCGGTTGAATTGCAATCGATTCAATCGATTGGATTGCAGGGAAGGGACAGGACGGAAGGGAGGGAGGGGAGGAGAGGGAGGGGAGGGAGGAGATGGAACGAAGGGTGTGGAGGGAGGGGAGGGAGCGGAGGAAGGTGGGGAGGGGGATTGCAGTGGAATGGAGTGCAATCGATTGCAAGCGATTCGATTGGGATTTTCGATCGTCGATCGTTGATCGTCGATCGTCCATCCTCGATCGTGGATTGTTCATTTTGGATCGTCGGCGAAAGGGAGGGCGGAGGCTCCGGGGGCTGGGCGGCCAAAGGGGGCAAGGGGGGGGGGCAAGCTTCCAAGCCCCCCCCCCCTTTGGCACAAAGGGGGGGAGGGGGGTGGGAGCTTCCAGCAGGGCGGCTCCAAGGGAGGGGGGCGGTAGCTTAAGCACCCCCCCGGGGGTAGGGGGGGGTAGCTTCCGGGGCGGCCAAAGGGGGGTGGGGGGTGGGTAGCTTCCAAGCCCCCCTCCCCCTTTGCACGAAAGGGGGGGAGGGGGGTGTAGCTTTAAGCACCCCCCACCCTTGGAAAAAAGGAGGGGTGGGGAGGGGGGGTTAGCTTCGGGGCGGGTCCAAGGGGGGAGGGGTGGGGTGGCTGTTAGCCCCCCCCCCCCTGCAAAAAAAGGGGGGAGGGGGGGGTGCTTCCAACAAGGGCGGCTCAAGGGAGGGGGGGTAGCTGGAAGCCTAGCCCCCCCCCCCCTCCCCTTTGCTCGGGCCCTGCGGGCGCGCTCTCTCATACATACATACATGCATGCATGCATACATACATACATGCATGCATGCATGAATTCATTCATTCATTCATACACACATACGCCCATACATACATACATACATATATACATACATTATATTACATTACCATACATTACATTACATTACCTCACATTACATTACATTGTATTTGCAATTACATTTCATGTCATTCCATTACACTACATACATACATACATGCATGCATGCATGCATACACACATGCATATATACACACATCCATACATACATGCATGCATGCATGCATGCATGCATACATACATGCATACATACATACATACATTCATACATACATTCATACATCCATACACACATACAGCCAAACATGCACACACACATACATGCATACAAGCATGCATGCATGCATGCATGCATGCATACATACCTACCTACCTACATGTATGCATACATGCACATACATACATACATACATGCATGCATGCATGCATGCACGCACGCACGCACGCACGCATGCATACACACATACATACATACACACATGCATGCATGCATGCATGCATGCATGCATGCATACATACATACATACATACATACATGAATACATACATACATGCATACATGCATACATACATACATACATACGTATACACATACATACATACATACGTACATACATACATACATACATACATACATACATACATACATCCATACATACATGCATGCATGCATGCATACATACATACGTACACACATACACACATATATATATACATACATACATACATACATACATACATACATACATACATACATGCATACACATAAACATACGAACATATATCCCCCCCGCGGGGGCCTCGGGAACTGGCCGCTGCTCCTTCGAATGTGATATAGATATAGAGATGGATGTACCCAGACGACGTGTTGAAAAAATCAGGTCGCAAGTTTTCGCGAACTTCGGCCCCTAGAGACCCTCGCCGGGCCTCGGGACCGTCAAAAACAACTCAGGATGAAAAACTGGTCCTGGGGAATGGGTCGTGATTTTTTCACATGTGGGGCCCCGGGAATTCTCGAACCATTCCCCAGGACCTGTTTTTCATCCTGAGTCGTTTTCTGATGGTCCCGAGGCCCAGCGAGGGCCACTTGGGGCCGAAGTTTGGGAAAAACCTGCGATCTGATTGTTTAACACGTTGGATCTCTGGGTATGTATATGCCCGGGAGAACTGTCGGAAGTTCCATCCTTTTCCCCTCTCTGCGCACTCTTGACGCACATCCGGAGGACTCCGCGTGGACCGCCGGAAATCCCCAGAGTTCTCCTGGGGGCCTCCAGGTCGGAGGGGGGATGGCTCCTCCTCCTCCGCCTTCACCTCCTCCTCCTCCTCCTCCTCCTCCTCCTCCTCCTCCTCCTCCTCCCTCCTCTCTCCCTCCTCCGCCCTCTGGTGAGAGAGGGGGGTGGGGTGGGGGGGAAAGGAAGAGGGGCGAGGACAAGTGAGCGACGATCAAAAACAGGTCTTTCCCGAGACGCCATAGCGACCTTACGCGGTCGCTTACGCGGGCCGCTCGAGCACCACGCTACTTGGGAGAAGAGGGCGCTTACGCGCGACCTTACGCGGACAACTTACGGGCCAATGTCGACGCAGACGACCCCGTTTTTTGCGTCGCTCAAGTGGGGAGGGCGCCTGGGGGATGAGATGGAGGGGGGCACTGGGCAGGGGGGGGCCACGAGCTGACCTACAGCGTGAGCCGCTGCGCACCCCGCGAGGCAAGGCCGTCGAAGAGAGGAGGAAGGGATGGGGGGTATCTGGACGAGCGCGTTCCACCACTCGCAAAGTAACTACTCGCAAATGGCCTGGATCCGCCGCGGGTGAGCTACGATGAACTACATCACAGCGGACATGTGTTTTTCGGACGCTTGCGAGTATAGGCGGCGAGCGAGGGGGGAAGTGAGAAGGGGCGGGCCTTCTCAGAAGGCTCGGAAGTCTCCAAGCCTTCTGAGAAGCTTCTCTCATCACAGGGGGAGGGGGGAGGGTCCGGGAGACGGGGAGGGGGTTCCATTCCATTCGAGTGACCATGGCGACCTAGTCAAACTGGGACACTGACCGAATTCAATCATACA